ATCAGAAAATAAATTTGGTCATAAGCAGCTGTCGTCCGCATGCAAGGAAGTAAGCACAAGATGCCGAACACCCTTAGCAGGATGCAGCGCACCCTTCATGCGACTCGTCGAATATCTCACGGCGCTTCGCGCTTGGTGATGTGAGAGCCTGATCAAGTGAAAACCCGGCGTGCTCCGTCCCGGCTTTGTAGGGATGCGTGGTTCCTCGCCGCAGTACCTCTCTTCACAAAACTCATTGTCTGTCCAGGCGGGCCCCTATCCCCAACCAGATTTTTTCAGGTTCTGCACTTTGTCGAGGAGCGATTCTCTGAAATGACAACAACAACAACAACAACAACAACAACAACAACAACAACAACAACAACAACAACAACAACAACAACAACAAACCCCGGCCCTGACCTNACCCTGGCCCTGACCTCACCTAGCCGCGATGGTGATGACCCTCGTCCGATTCCACGGCGCGGGCGCGACCCTCACGTCGTACGCCAGCTCGTACACCCCGACGTCCCCCTCCCCCCACACGCCTCTCGTGCCGCGGGAAATCCCCGAGCTAGCAGTCGGGCTGAGGAGCCGCCCTCTCTGCTCGATGGATTTCCTCAGCTCGGCGGCGTTCGCGACCGGGTGTGCGGGGCGCTTCAGCCCCGGCCACCGCCCCCCGGGGACCTTACGGGAGGGAAAGGGTGCCAACACGGGAAGAAGGTGAGACAGCCTGCTGCACAGACTCCGCTGGTTGGGGGGTTGCTACATGGAGAGTTGTCCAGCATGGGGTATGGGGAATGGGTGCGCTCGTTTTGGAGAAGTTGGACCTACAAGCAGGGGTGTTTCGTGGTGTCGCCAGCGCATCACAAAGAAAGCGTCAGCATCGGAAGAAGCTTGAAGCTGCTGTTGTTGCTGCTATATCTTGGATGACAGCAACAGCAACAACAACAACAACAACAACAACAACAACAACAAAAACAACAACAACAACAACAACAACAACAACAAAAACAACAACAACAACAACAACAAAAAAAACAAGCAACGATGCGACTACGACAACGACAACGGCAAACCGGAAACGGTCCCCCCGCCCCCTGCACCGCGATGTTGAGCGGCCGCGACCAGGCCGAGTCGTCCACCCGCACGCACAGTCCTGCTCCGGACCGGCTCGCACGCCCCCCACCCCCCCCGACCGCTCGGGGGGTCTCAGCTGTTGGGACCCCGATCTTGCTGACCACGCCTGCCGATGGCTGGTAAATGATAGAGGTGCCTGTCTCGCGAGCAAGCAGTCGAGAAGTGGGGCAAACAGCAACTAGATCAACGTGGAAAGCAAAATGGAGAGAAAACTGGTGTAGCTGGGGGGCTGTGTCGACAATAAATGCTTCGGTTCGTGCCGCGTGGATGGCATACCTCTCGGCTGATGGTTTCGGCGGCGGCGGGAGATCCGCGCTCATCACGCTCGCTCTTCGCTGGTCAATGTAAAGTACCGATCAAAACCCCTCGGTGCACAAGGGACGCATCCAGCGAGATAACCAACGAGAACAGCAGTGCACTTGCGCGTTCGAACACGCATTTGGGGATTACAAGCAATCCTTGTGTGATATTTCTTTTTCGAGAGAACAATTAGTCCAAACCAAATCCACCTCAACCCGTCCATAAAAATAGCGATGAATCAAGTCTTGAGTTTTACATGACCTACCTGTTTCTTTCTACGACTTTCTCGCGAACAGACGTCATGAAGCCCCTGTAATAAATGCAACCTTCTCGCCCCCTGTTTGCATGAAACCTGAAGAACAAGGTACGCATGCACACGCCGTCGGCGGTCTACAAGAACACCAACGAACGCCGTTCGACAGAAGCACAAAAAGATCATCACCTTCCCCCACGGGCTTGCCCGCGATAGTCGATGGGGAGACAGGGGTCTCCTCCTTCCCCTCCGCAGGAGCCGTTTGCGGTGTTGGTCGGTAGGGGACGCGGCGGCGCACCCACCTCCGACGCCAGACGGGGTCGGAGAGCGTGAAGGCCCGAGAAGACGAGAAGCTGCTGTTGCTGTAGCTCGCTCCTTTCAAGACGTAGACCAATCAATTAACGAGGCATATTTAGCATGATGAATTGCGGGGGGGGCGATAGGAGGCAGGCAGTCGAGACCGGGCATGGGCTGTAGTTGTCCACGTGGTAGGGTTCACGCGTGATATGATCAAGTATCCGGCGATAGAAGTAAAATGAGCAAGATGAAGGCTTGTCATTGGGGAACACCTGCCAAGCCGCTAGCCAAGCGAGCTGAGTCGGGACGAAGGTCAGCTTGTTCCTCACGCACAATATGTACACAGCACGCGCCTCAACTTCTAGAAATTGGTAGTTGAGAAAACTGACCTAAACAAAAACATCAGAACATATGGTCCGCTTGCACACAAATTCACAAAATTTTCCCCTGCACAAAGGTGCACTTTTCTCGGGGGGGGGGGGGGG